TGTGATATGAGTATCAGTCACATGGAGGCAGGACTTAAAAGCCTAAATTTTGCCTGAAACTCTCAGACTGAAGAAGTCTCTTGGAGGAGAGACGAAACATTTCATTAGAGAAGAACCTGTCCAGAAGACCTACACAATTTTTTTCTTTTTGACTTTTTACCTGGATTAATGAGATGCATCAGGACGAAAAACAACCAACTTACCTCATTTTTTAGAAACCAGGGAGTAATTCATAATTTCTCCAGCAGATGGTGCCATCGGACCAATTATGATTCAAAGCAGATTTATCCTCAGCCCTTTCAGCCCTTAAGAGATTTTACACCAGAGGCTTATCTGCTTATACTTAAAATTTATTAAGGTTTTAACCTGCACCCAACCAGGACAACAGCTCTAAGGTTAACCTAACTCAGAACAATGAAAACCAAAATTAACAGATTAAACAGTCAAGAGCCTCAGATTGACCATCTAATTAGTAGTAATTGACAGCATACCAGGTAAACAGATCCTAAGTTAACACAAATTGAAAATGAAAATTAAGCCTAAGGTATACCTATTTAGGACTCAGATTAACTAATTACTGATTGACARCTGACCAGGACAACAAATCCTTAKCCTAACCTATTTGGAAATTTAAGCCTAAGGTTTACCTATTCAAGGACTCATTTCAACCATCTAAATACTAAGCAACATCTGAACAGGATAATTAAACTAAAACTAACCTAAACCGGAATGCGCAAGCTAAGAACTAACATTTACCCTAAATTTAATATCTGATTGGAACGAACAATTTAGAACCACCTTTACGGCTCTGGTGAGGGAGAGGAAATGAATGGATGCAGCCCTGACAGTTAAGGACTGTGCATTTAGAATCCTGATGCTGAAATTCAACCCCTTCTTATCCTAACCCTAACCAGTTAAATGGAGTCTCTATGATGTTTCCTCGCCGAGATATAAGCTTAAAACCAACAAATACACATTTTTACATGAAGTGAAACACTTTAAACAGAAGAAGTTTTAGATAATTTTATTGTAGTTGGATGCTGGTGGTTCACTCAGGCAGGGCCTGCAAGCTTCTTCAAACAGTTCTTGCATGGTTCTGGACTGGTCTTGTGAAAGGTGCAAGGTGTAGAACTGGTCATCTGTGGAGGTGTCATGACACATGAAATTTGACAGTTTGTGGCGCACCTCCGGACTGTGGAAGTTCCTGGCATGAGTGGCAACTGATGTCCTGGTGTCAGTGAAGGTTGGGGTTCCAGACAAACCCATTTCTTCCCATGCCACCTGGAGGAACTTCAAGAGGGTCTTTCCATTGTCGGGAGTCCCTGTGGTGAAGAAACGGTTGTCTTTTGGTTCCAGTTTAGCTCGAAGGCACATCCATCTCTCCAGCCACATGAACTCGTCCCGGGTTAGGTAGATCTGGGTCATCCCGAATGCTCGGTTGGTCTTGTGCTCTCTGACCTGGCAGAACAAACAAGAATTAGTAAAAATGTTCTAGTGACCCACCCACATCCAAGACGTGGTTCTACTCACATTGATAGCACCGTGGCTTCCCTCCGGAGAGGCCTTTTTTGCAGCTTCTATCTCCTCCACCTTCATGTTAGCAAGTACACCAGTTCTGTGTCCACAAATGGATTATATAAAGGCAGCTGTGTAACCATAAAARCGARACCTCARGGGTGGGATGTCTTCATTCTCCAGCATGTCTGTGGGGATGGAGGAATATTGGTTAAAAACAGTGATGTGGCTGCCAAGAACCTTGGATGTTGTGCACTTACCCAGCAACTCTGGTATCCTGAGGCAGACCAGCTCCTTGCAGGTGGCTAGGTGTTGTTGTGTGATGGCCCTGGAAACTTTAGCATCCTTCATGGAGATCTGGTGCARGACCACTTCCCTGCTCAGATCACAGAGGCAGCTCTTCAGGGCTCTGGCCACACCAGCCTGCTGGCTCCTTGTTAGACTACAGGGGTCCGGTGGTGTTTCCACGAAGTACTGCATGAACTGATGGACGTTTTTGAGGRACATGTTGACCGTAGTGACAGACTTATTCGCTTTAGCCAGCTCTGCGGGCCATCTCAGTATGTGTTCCACATTGTCCAAGAACAGCCAATTTTCTTTGTGCTGGTGTCCCTCAGACATGTAACCCAAGAACATGTGGACCCTGTTAGCTTTAGACACCGTGTTCTGTTTTTGTTTGTGGTTTGGATGTCCACCCATGTAGAACCTCCTGAAGCCCCGCAGAAAGGAGACCACTGGTCCTGGCAAAGGAAGCAGCTGGGAAGGCAGTGGGCTGTCTGGGTGTGTTGTAGCTGGGGGCTCCAGCCAGCTCGCTGGGACTGGGTTTGGGGCTGCTGGTGCACAAGAGGTGCTTGCTGTTTCTTCATCTTCCAGACAATCATCTTCATCATCATCATCACCACAATCTTCCTGGTCCTCGCCTTCCATGCTGGATTCCAGCCCAGAGTCACCATGCTGGATTCCAGCCCAGAGTCACCAGCCTGTTGTTCCCCACCGGGTTGCTCTGTCTGGAGGTCCGAGACAACCGGTGGGCTGATTGTTTTTCCCTGAGCTCTCTGATCATGTGAATAGTGTAGTTTTGCCTCACCAGACGCAACCGAGCCTGTCTCTCCTCCTCGGTCAGCTCCACATGGTCCCGCATGATGTGTTTGTCCAGCCATCCCTCTCTCTAGTTGCATCCCTCCACGGGGRAGGCATGGTCCCTCACATTTACTCTCCCGCAGGCTAATTTCAAAAGCAGCTTTCTTACGTCCAGGTTATTTACACCGTGTCCCCACCTCAGGTGGCTTGACATTGCTTTAAATTGTCTAAAACTAGTGATGGGCAGTTTGAAGCTGAAGCTTCGGCGCATGTATTGAAAATAACAACACACTGTTTCAGAAGCACTGTGTCGGAGCTTGATTCGTTTGGTAAAAGTCATGTGATCAGTGATGTCCGAAGCTTTGAAAGTGGTGAACTTACGTCACTGCTTTGGTATCTGATTCAAAAGGTTCATGAGGAAATGAATTGGTTGGATTCGTGGTGTGTTTTGGCAAATGCGCAAAATATAACAAACCAGTGAAGGACTTTTTGTGAGACAGAGGCAAGCAAATGTATGTGTTTAGTTGGTCATGCATTTCATAAGCCTGGGCCAGAAAGAGTGGGAGTCACAAACCCACAAAGAACCTTTGCTGCGAGCGCACGTGTGCGTGCGCATGCACGCACACACACGCACAGACGGACCTACACAGAACTGCATGCAGCTTGGTTCATCATTAAAAAGAAAGCAATCGTAGCGCGAGACACATCCCAGAGCAGAGTTTCACTTGTTGCACAGGTGATGATTTTCATAAAAANTATAATGTTTAAGAAATGTTTGTATGTTTATTCTTGTCATATATCTAAAATAAATTACTTTATTTTGAGAAATCTGACAAGACCACAAGTTCTTTTCACATTCATGATCAGAGGGGTGTTTCATTATATCTGCTTTCATTTCTTGCAAGATCTTGTGGAACATGACTTTTATGAGATTAAGCTGGTATTAATCTCATGGAGCAGGGTTCTTACATCTGTCTTAATTTAATCTTATTTCTACTTCTGTAGATTTATGTATTTCATCTTTTTTTCCTGCGCTTGTTTAAGTGCTTTATGAATAATGTTAAGATCAACTCAGCTGCTGCCACATGCCCGTAGGTGAAGACTAACATTTTGGCTTTTGTGATGGTTAAAAGCAGAAACAAGTGACAAAAGTAAGTGATATTTGTGCTCTGGTAACCACAGACATGGGCCATATGACTGCTTGTGAAAGCATTTACACAATGAAGGCCAGATTCATATCAGGACCTGTTTGTGTGGTTCCTGTTACAATAAATCGTTGTGTAAATGCAGCACTTCCTGCTATCTGTCATGTCTTTATGAGCAGATAAACAGACGTGAAACATGTTATAAAAAGAGATAAACCTAAATAACTTCTAAAACATACATGATAATGATTACAGTAATATTAAAGTGCTGCGTTTTTATTGCACACTTGTGGTTTCAGATATCCACTAATCCTTCCTGTGTTGGAATGACTAAAAGAGGAAGTGTAACTGTGTGTTCACAGAGTTTTGCACGACACGTTCTATCAGGAAGTTTTTTTTGTTTTGTTTTGTCACAAAGCATTTAGTGAAACATAAAACTAATCTTGACATAATGCTTTATTATGCCACCTGTGTCGGGGCAGGATTGGTGTCCTCCTCTCCAGGTGCTCCTGTGAAGTCAGCAGCTGTGGGTGGTGGGCCAGGACTGTGGGCGGTGTCCCTCTGCTTGGGTGGCTGTAGCGGGACAGCTGAGTGCATCTGTTCAGTCTGTGGATCATTGTTGTCCAAACAGCTGGAGGGAGTGGCTTCATCTGAGGTTTGAGGAGGGACGATCAGTTCTAGATAAGAGAAAAAAATAAAGGATTAAGAATTAAAATACAAAATTAGTTCAGTCATTATCAGGGACAAACACATGACGATGCACACAGTAAAGTCTTTGTGTCAAGAGGACACAGAGTTACTTTGTCTCAAACTCATTTTATCGCCTGAAGTTTGCTTGTGGTTTTTCAGTAAAACTTGGAAGGCACACACTGTGTTCAAACTACACAAGCAGCCCAATTTAATGCATTAACAAAAAGAAAAAGAGCCTTGTGTTTGAATCACTATCTATGTTAACAGGGACATAAGTATCAGAATAAACAACCATTCGGGATAATCTGATGTGATTCAGCTCGGTCAGAATAAATTCGTAATCTGAATGAGAGGGGTAGTTTATGCTGATTGATAATCTGAACGGCGTGAATGTAAACACTTATTCTGATCATGATCTTCTGGTTGTGGAAAACTGACATGACTTTGCGCCCGTTCCACCTGCAAGATGCTAATATATCAGGGAAGAAAAATTGGTTAGTTAGCGATAATTTCTATTAGAGACTCTGAAAGAGCTCAAAATGATCAAACTCCTTGATGGTTGAAAGTAGGGGTCGACCGATACATCGGCCGGACGATATTTTTGGCCGATATTTGCGTTTTTTCCTTGTATCGGTATCGGCTGATACGTTCGGCCGATCCATTCTTTGGATCACGTGAGCGCATGTAGCCGCCCCCCTCCCTGGGAGAAAGCAGCTGGTAATGTTGTGAGACAGAGTGCAACAACAGTAAGGGTGAGTTATGAACTTTTAATGTGTTTTAACTCTAATTTAGGTTTTCTGCCCTCTGTGTTGGAATATGAGGGGGAGAGAGGAGCTGTGTTTAAGTTTCACTGTCTTTGAGAACGGGAGCACCATGTTTTTACTTTCGCCCCGCCACTGTAATTAGCATCTCCACGTTGTTTTTCTTTTTAAAAAATTGCTGGAATTGCTCACATAGAAAAACACCTCTATTCTTCTCCTTGCTGGATTAAAATAAAAAAGCTCTCGGTCTTTTCTCGCTGCTATGTTCATAAGAGCGAGTAAAGAGTAAAAGTAAAAGTCCTCACAAAGATAAAGATGTGTCAATTTTACGTAAAAAAAGATATTAATCTGATTAATATACAAATAATAACAGAATATGTAGCACTAGATAAAATAAATCATTAATTTATTTATTTGTTTAAGAAACGGCTGAAAAAATAAATCCTGTGTGGCAGCACTTCATACAGCCTGCATCAGACAAGGCTCAGTTAATAAATGTTTCTTTTTTGTTTAAATTGAGACCTGTGTAACATTTGTTATCACTCTTATTTTTATCATGTTAATGGAAGAAGAAAAAGCAGTATCGGCCAAAAAAATAAAAAATAAAATAAAAAATCGGCTGCACGTATCGGCGTATCGGTTAGACCAGGGGTCTGCATCCTGCGGCTCTAGGGCCACATGAGGCTCTTTGAACCCTCTGCAGTGGCTCTTTGAAAATGTGGCCAAACATGACAGAATAAATTTTTCTGTTTGTTTTTTTATACCCACAACAGAAATCAATTTGTATTCAAATATATGCTCAATACAAAAAGTAAAACTTGTAGATTAGCTCATGCTAACCCTGTTGTTTCCTTAAATAATCCAACTTATTGCTATGATCTTTCTCTCAAATCCATCAGAATTACCTTTTAAAATTTTTGAAGACTACATAAGAATTAGAAAATAGTACTTGTTGTACTTGTTTTTATAAAATTCAATATAAACTATATAAAGTATTTTTTTTTGTTTACATGAAAAAAGTTGTTTCATTTGTCCTAATGTGTAAAAATAATAATAAATATTAAAATTCACAGTATATTTTTTTAGTTTTATAATGTCACCTTCACTGGCCGTAAAGTTTCTCAAAAAGGCCCGCGGACCACCAGTTGATAATCACAGTCTTAGCTTGTTTTGTGGCTCTGGACACATTTTATCAGTGAGCCGAGGAGCAGAAATGGCTCTTTTGATCGTAAAGGTTGCAGACCCCTGGGTTAGACTGATGTTAAAATAATGGGTATTTGCCTTCAGAAACCTGCATCGGCCGATCTCTAGTTGAAAGCGTAGGAACACGGAGCTATTTCAGAATTTATTTATTTTAACATTTGTTAATGTTCATCACTGAAGTAGAACTCCTGTGTTTTTTTTAGAGAAACACTCACTACTTCCATTCTGCATAAAAGTATGGTGCACGTCACGATCGGATTATTTAAATTTGTGCCCATACAAACGATGAGTTTGGACCATTTAATCCGAATACATTTCAATCCCATCAAAGAATTCTGTGCACATAAACACAGCTACTGTTAGCGAGGCAACCCCCCCCCTCCCCCCCAAAGCACTGCCGTTATCAGAAGCAAAAACTCCATTTCTACCTTCTTGTTTGTCTGTAAAGGTGCCTGCAGAGACTCTCGGTCCAACAAGCTCACCGGCTGAGCCGACCTCAGAATCCAAGGAACGGAGAGCATTTTTATTGGATTGAACCGTAGATCTAAAACATAAGAAAAAACACAATGTAACACAGGTTCATGCTTTATTGGATTCACATAATACAAACGTACCGAGTCACAGTTTCTAGGTGGTTAACAACAAAACCAAAAAATGTCAAGGTAAAAAGCTAATTAGATGGATTTTTGTCGTTTTTCAATGTAGCCAAGATATCAGGGCACTGTCGCTGTGGACACTGATCATTAAAAAAACTGATTATATAATTTTGGCACAGGCTTTGAATCTAAACATCAGAGGAATCTGAAGGGTTCGATTGTTTTGTGTGTGTGATGCACTGTTTTAACGTTCAGTGTTTACACTGCTGCCAGGATGTTATCATTGTTGCGTCAACATGACAAACGCCCAGATGAGTTGAGTCGTGCTGCAAACCTGAAAGTCAGCTGTGTTTTTCACGGCGCCAAGAAAAGCCTGTTAGGTAAATAAACCTTTATAATTCTTTCACTTTATTCTAACACAATGACTGCACAGTCCCTTTAAAGGAATCTTGAAGAAGCTTTTTATTTTTTTATCAAACACATGAATGAACTGTTTGATACTTCCCCTGTGTGTCATAAGACCTCCAATAACCTTAACAAACACAAACAACTATCTATGTTTCATAAAATCATCGTTTTTTTCATAGAGGGGTTCTTACTCTACACTGGGTGATCCAGATGTTCCTGGCAGGCTTGCTTCCAGCTGCGTCGTGGCTTCAACTTCAGTGGGCTCCTTGGTTTTAACCGGTTCATCCGGATTCAGAGCGTCACTTAATTCACCTGAAAACAAGAAGACAAGAACTGACTCAGAGGATAAGAATTAAAATAGTTAACCATCGTGTGATTTCAGGGATAAATATAATGAAGGACAACAAGTACTAACAGAATTTTTTATGCTACAAACCACAACTTTTACTTTAGAAAATTATGAATGCTTACATTGGTGACTACCAGAGGCCATAAAGCCCTTACAAATGTTAAAACTAGGGATGCACCGATACCGATACCAGTATCGGGTATCGGTCCGATACCATGTGCGTTAACTCGTACTCGTACTTATAAAAGTGCTCCGATACTACAGGACCGATACCAGCTTCATTTCGCTCAGTTTGTGCATAGACGCTCTAAACCAGCAGGCAGCGGAATCGCGCAACAGACTTAATGCCAGCCGCATAAAAAAAACAGAAGAAGAAGACGACGACCACGTTAGCCGAGCTGAACAAACTTTAACAAGCAAGCAGTTTGTAGAGGAGGTGTTATGTCAGCGGTGTGGAGGTATTTTCAGGTGACAGTAGTAAGACGTCATCCCTGCTGTGACCGTGCTTCTGAGACTCCTAAACAAAGACACTGGTGAAGATCACAGGATCAAAACAATGAAGTCCACTTTGGCTGCAGCTGTCAAGAGGCGTTTCACTGATGCTGAGAAAAAAACCATCTACTGCATCTCAACTGTACTGGATCCAAGGTAAATTAAATAAATAAAAATGATTAAAAATAATAATAAGCCTTGATTTGCCTAAAAATATTTTTTTATTTTTATAAGTGTTTATTTGCCAAGTAATCTGATGGAGGAAAAATCATTATGACCAAGCTGCAACATGTTACAAATTAAACATTTATTACTTAATTGCAATTAATTTAACATACTACAAAGTTTTAGTTTAGTTTATTTATATAGTTGATGGTACAATGCTCTAATATTCAGTGAGGGCCCTGTAACACATTTTAGATAACTTGAGCCGATCATTAAAATTTTTACATCTACGATGAAGATGGAATAAAAAAATAAATCAACTGGAAGTCTCTTTTAGGTGTATTAGGTTTATTTATTTATTTTTTGTACATGCTGTCATAGTATGGTTATATGACAGTAAAATGGTTTTAAACCAATAGTAATGTACTTTGTTTATTTATGTTTGAAGTGCCTAATGAAAATAAACAGTTTAAGTTAATTATAAGGATTTTTAAGGACATTTATTAGTACTCGTATCGGTACTTGGTATCGGCAAGTACTTTAATGTAAGTACTTGTACTCGTACTCGGTTTTCAAAAATCTGGTATCGGTGCATCCCTAGTTAAAACGTGTCTGTTGATGACAGAAAATTTGCTTACTGCTGTTCTGCGATTCCTCGTTGATCTCCTCGTTCAGGTACTCCAGGAGGCCATCGAAAATTTCCAGAAGGTTCTTGATCGACTCTTTATCCCCACTAACAACATTTTCTCCTGCAAAGACAGCCGTTCTCCGAATTACACTTCTAAAATATGACTGCTGGTATTTCTACGTGCTCCCTCAGGAAATGAACTTATTCCAAGAGAAAGAAAGGCAGACATGCTTATTTTATTAAAACACGGTTACAAATTCAAACTGTTGCTCTACCTGTAATGTGTGAGAGGCTGATCTGGAGGTAATCCAATGACAGGGAATCAATCACACACTGGACATTATGAACGTCATCCTCTTGACTGCATGGCGCCGCTATATAATCTAAATACAAACAGAAAATCAAACATGTAAATGAAAGAAGCTTGTGAGAATGAAATCAAAGAAACAATAAAAACACACAGACATAAACTCACAAAAATTAAAGGCTCGCTGCCTGCTAACCATCAGTGTTTGCTGCCAATAATTATTAATTTAACATGTTTATGGCAACAAATTACTCTCAAATGCCATGTTTTTGAACTACTAGGATAATTAAGCAATATAAATGAAAAGTAAATAAAAATTTATCAGCATTAAGAGAGTAAAGACAGTGTACTTGGCTCCGGGGTTGGGGTGCATGAGGAAGATGCTAATGATAAGATGAGATGGAGGCAGATGATCCGTTGAGGCGACCCTTAAATGAATGAAAAGAAGCAGCAGCATTTAATAAATCGATCATTCATTCTTACCTGGAACCTTCTCTCCTAAGATGTTCTCGTATAAAGCGATGAAAACATCTGCATTACAGTCTGTCAGTTTCCTCAGCCTCAGTTTTATGTGACACTTGCTGAGTAGATCATTAGCCACATCAACCCAATCTGTAGAGGAAAAAAAAAACAATTAAATCAAGGTTTTTATTGAACTCTGTAGTCAAGAATCAGGGCTATTTCTTAAAGGTTTATGGAGAAAACTTCAGTTTCTTTGGTACATCTAATACTGACACAATAATGTACCAGATCTACTTCTGTTTTGTAACTTATAAATGACAGAGCGCTCCTGGGGAAAAGATCAGCTCATTTTATTACCAAATCAAATGGCCGAAAAATGCTAGTATATAAGATATAATCATGTTCAAATTTACATGTCGGTATTCGCTGTTTCTCCAACGCAACTAAGTTACAAAATTTAGGATGGCTAAACAAAAGCAGAAGTTTGGTTGGGGCAAACATTGCGTCAGTGTGTTGCCGCAACTTTTTACCGGCTATGAGGAGGAACTCAGAAGTAGCGAGCTAACCATGCTAATGTTCGCTAGCAGGAACGCGACCACAGATTAGATACAACGCCAATATTCAAATCGGCATTGTAAACACATTACAAACACAAGGCGTTTATCTGGTTTTAGTGACAGCAACAAGAGAAGGAAGCTGTGGAGATACGTGTCGTTAGCTCCGACTGGTTGACTTACTTCTTTCTCCTTCCTGGGTTCCCATGAAACAACAGACGCCCAAAGGCAGACAAAAGACAAAGTGTGATGGATAACTAAAACAGACACACCGAGTCTTATAATGTTTTAAATCCAAATGCGGGTCCTGTTACTGTCGGTATTGTTGTGTTTTTCGGAGAAGGAATATCGGTTCACATTTAAAACTGAGGTCCCGTTTGATTGGACGTTTACTCGCTCTTTGTTTGCGGAAGTGGAGTATTGGTTACCGCCCCCTAGGGGCGATTCTGAATATGACGCCACATTGTTTATTGCTATTAGGTAATAAGTATATAAAAATATTTATTTTTCCCAAAGTGAATTAATAGCGCCGAACTGCTCAAATCAACATTGTTTATAATTTTATCATGCATCTATTAAATGTCTTAGTTTGTTTTATTAATGCTTGATACATTGCTGATTTTAGACTTTTACTAAATGATTTGCTGCTGCTGCTTGTGCTTAAAGAATAGTTATGCTGCTCTTCAGAACTTCTTTTATTTGTATCTTACTGTTTTTCGCTGCCACTGTTGTTTCTCTTGTAATGAACTGTTCTCAATTGTTGATGATTTTATTGTTTAACATTTTATGTCTTTCTTATGGTGCCACTGTACAACTGGCCACCAGGACTACAGATGAAAAATACTTTGGTTAATTCTGGCATGTTGCAGATGTACTGTTATTAATATGCACCGTCCTGTTAAATAAATATATTACAAACGTGCTGAACCAGGAACAAATGGGAAAATTCTGAAAGCGATTAGAAGACAATGAATAAAAAATATAAAAATAAAAAACCTGGTGGCTTTTTTGTTTGAAACACATTTATTATACGTCAACATATTATATCAAAAACATAACAAAAATGCATAATTATAATATTTCATGTTTTCAATTGATGGTGTGTAAAATTGAAAAAATGGTCGTCTTTGAGACAGAGATTTATCAGAGTATATTCATATAAAAGTAAATTTATTCTGGTTAATTATATTTTTAATGTAAACCAATACAAAAACATACATTTTGTTGTTTCATATCATATTTTATCATCTTATTTCCGTTAATTCATAAAGTCATACATAAAAACAAAAACATAAAATGCATAAAAAACAGATAAAGGGAAAAAGTGAACGTTTTACAGCACCTTTCATGTTTCCTGGGTTTCATTTGATTATTTGGGTCAAATTTTTCTCACAGATCCAATAGTTTGAAGTTGTGCATGGGATGTCATTCCAACTGTTTTCCGTTTTAAAGAACCTTATCTCCACACATTTGTCGTCTACACGTATCAAATTGTTGGGTTCTCCTTCGCCCCAGTAGCTTAAATGGTGGAAAACAAACAATAAAAGACAGTGTTAATATCCAATATAACAATGAAAACAAAAAATATTTTTTTTAACAAAACCTTTATGTTCAATTAAACATACAAGTTTAGATCTTATCACATCAGTAAAACAGTCATTGCAATAATAATATAGTATAAGAATGATCCATAAGTAAAACAGATCAGGTTTTAGGTGTCAAAAAACAAATAAAATACTTTTTGGTCAAAGGAGTCCCATCCACCCAGGTCCACTGATTTGTTATGTTTCTCAGTCCGATCCATGTTAACCTGTTAAACTGTCTCGTAAAGTCCTGAAAATAGATTTAAAAAGTTTTTCAAAAATATTGTTAAATTATTAAAGTTTTTACACATTTTTGCCCAATATTACACTTTCAGACAGTAACATAAAACACTTGTACCTGCTCTTCGTTGGTGTTAATAATCACCAGATCTGCTCCTCTTTGCAAACAGTCCTGTTGACTTTCCTCCCAAGATTTTGTGGTGGAAGAAATGTAATAGAAACTTGGATGCACATACGCCCATCCTTGTTGAAAATACTGAGCTGTCATGAGAAACAAAAAGAAAAATTTGTTTTCATTAACTTTCAAATAACTTTTCCAAGATGATTGATTTTTTCGTTCTGTAACAAAAATCACTGGAGTTTGTAAATATAATTGTCAAAAGCAAAAATAATACAGGTATGTCATGTTTATATTTGAGGTTGAGAAAATATTGTCAAATAAATGTCATATTATCATTTTTATTTTATTTTTTATTCATCTGACACATTTTTTGTAGAACCAGAACCAGATCAGTGCTTAAATGTTTTAATTAAGAAAATGTATTTTTTTTCTTTTTCTCACTCACCATTCTGTCTTCTAAAGTTGTCTAAATCTGTTGTCCCATTTTTCCAAACAGGCAGAAGGTCTGATGTCTGGGTGTCTAAAAAGGCAGAAACACTTGTTAACAACACATACACACATACACAAAAAATGTCAAGAGTTTTTATATGAACTGTATTGGACTTCTGTGCTCGTCACGGATTGTCCATCACGAACACCATGTTCAGGCATAAGGGTGTCCATATGTGCACTTGGCACCAGGACACCCTAGGCCGCAGTTCGATGATCGATTTTGTTGTCGTTTCATCGGATCTGCGCCCGCATGTCTTGGACACTCGGGCGAAGAGAAGTGTGGAGCTGTCAACTGACCACTACCTGGTGGTGAGTTGGCTCCGGTGGTGGGGGAGGAAGCTGGTCAGACATGGCAGGCC